CAGATAAACCCAGTCGACCCCGGCTGCGGTTGAGCCTGGGCACGGCTGCCTTGAGAACAAGTGGAGCACATGCTGACAGAAAGAGAATCTGAATTTGGGAAGATGAAAGTCATGTTTAAGCATTCCTAGACGCTCTCTTCAGAAGGACTATGACTGTGTATGTGCGCGAGGATCAAAGCCTCGCCTCCAGTGCCGGGCTGATGGTGGAGTGTGTGGGAGGTCCCTGGGTCCCTGTGTGAATGGGGACAGGGAAGAGCTCTGGGCTTTGATGGAGAGCTTGTGCCTGATCACCCGTCATTGTCTGAATGTCTGAAGGGCAGGGACAGTGGATCAGGCTACAAGCTCGCTATATGAAGTGCAGTGGTGTTCATGCTGTTCACAGGTGTAAAAAAGACCTTCTTCAACTCTTCATTAGACAGGGAGACTGAGTGAAGTGAGAAATGATTAGATGTTGCTTTTAATACAAACAAATGGTCTTTGCACGCAAAACGTATTCTCGTAGCTTCATAACATAATGGTTGAACCACTGATGTCACATGGACTATTTTAACGATGTCCTTACTGCCTTTCTGGGCCTTTAACATGTCATTTGCGTTGCTGTCTATGCAGGGTCAAAGCTCTCGGATTTCTTCAAAAATATCCTAATTTGTGTTCCAAAGATGAACGAAGGTCTTAAAGGTTTGGAACAACATGAGGGCAATTCATGACAGAATTTTCATTTTTTGGGTGAACTATTCCTTTAAAATACTCATATCTCAGCTTAAAGGGATAGTTCACCCAAAAATGAAAATTCTGTCATTAATTACTCACCCTCGTGTTGTTCCAAACCCGTAATACCTTCTTTCATCTTCGGAACACAATATTTAATATATTTTTGATGAAATCTGAGGGCTCTCTGACCCTCCCATAGACAGCAAGGTAACTACCACGTTCAAGGCACAGAAAAGTACCAAGATGATTGACAAAGTAGACCGTGTGACATCAGTGGTTCAACTGTAATGCTACAAAGCTGCGATAATACTTTTTTTGCGCAAAGAAAACAAAAATAACGACTTTATTCCACATTTTCATCTCTATTGCGTCACTTGTGGATGCGTGTTAATGACAGTACCACACATTTGCTCAATGTAAATTCTGTCATCATTAATTCACCCTCGTGTTGTTCCAAAACTATTAGACTTGTGTTCATCTTCAGAGCACAAATGAATATATATTTAATATTCTCTCAGTTTTTGTCCATCCACTGAAAATCTAAGTAATGAAGATCGTATGGGTTTGTAATGACATGAGGGTGAGTAAATGATCACAGCAATTTTTTCTTTTTATATGCAAATACAACTACAAATCAGTCATTCATAGCTTGATTTCTCAGAAGAGGGTATTTTTGTGGCTCTGTGATACTTTCAAAACATTGGGCTCCATTCACTAATATTTTGAAACAATTCTTGCATTTATGCACACAGGAAAGAGTACTCACAGAAAATTTCCTTCAGATATATACTTTGTACCAACACCAATATTTTTATTCCGCTCATTCCAATAAGCTGATGAATTAGGACTGTCGAATGTGTCGTTTCAGTTTGTTTTAAACTTTATTGTAAATTGTTTGAACAAATTGTCAGAATAACATGTATTCAGGATAACTGTCTGAAAATTTTATTGCCAATATTAGTGTTTTAGCCATTTGAAATCATACATTGTAACTTTAAGCTCAGTTTTGTTTTTTGTTCTCTTTGAGTAGTATTCAGGTGTGCAATACGGTATGTATAAATATATGTTTGATGTATTTTAGGTCTGACTGTCTAAAAAACAGTGGTGGGACAATATCAATGATGTCTCCTGCCTCAGGGTAACTGCAGCTTCTGTACTAAAATCAATACTTTCTATTCCCTATAGAACATGACACAGAGGAGAGACTCAGATGGAGAACATACCCGTTGTTTGGTGACATGCCTCAGTCCGATGTGCGGCTGACTCCTGCACTGTAGAGAGAAGAAAAGAGAGAATGTATTGCTCTAGCACACACAAAAACACATTTCTACAGCTTGAAAAGACTTTGATTTTTGGTTTCTCACTCTCTAAAAATGCTTCAGAGAACATTGAATATAATCTGGACTAAAATTTGTATAAGAACAGTATTATAAACTGCATGATAGTTGTGAATACAAATCAAACATGGCAACCACACAAAGGTCGTCAGAAAACAGCGAATTTTATTCCTAGAGCTGTATTCAAAAGACAGACTCTCAGAAATAAGTACAAAAACTTCCACTGGGGCAGTACCCTTTCAAAATGTACTAGACCCTACTCTGAATTAGGAGATGGAGTTCCTAGAACCAAATATGTTACAAGATCCTGCTGTGCGAACAATTCAAAAAGCAGGAACTCCCTAGGCCAATATTTCTAGGAACTGAAAAGGTTTCTCTGGTGCAAAAGCCCCTAAAATGTGCCTTTTAAGCAGGGCTGTAAGTTTACTTTTTTTGCACATAGCACTGGTGCTACAAAGGTTGAACATTTTGTAGCACAGGCCAAACAGTTGTAGAACAAGTTAGGGGTGGGCAATATGGCAAAAATATCATATCACGTTTTTTTTTTCAGGATTAGGATATACACATAATATACAAATAAAACAATCAGTGCTTTATTTTTCAGGTACAGTATTTAGCAGTAGCCTAACATTCAAGAAATTGAATGAACAAATATTAAAGGGGTCATATGATGCGATTTAAATTTTTACTTTCTCTTTGGAGTGTTACAAGCTCTTGGTGCATAAAGAAGATCTGTAAAGTTGCAAACACTAAAGTCTCAAAACCAAAGAGATATTCTTTATAAAAGTTAAGAGTTAACCACGCCTACCTAAAACGGCTCGTTCTAACACGCCCCCACATATCTACCACACTATGTGGGAAGATTTGCATAACGCCGCCCAAATGTTCACGCAAAGAAAGAAGGTGTAACTTTTATTCTCGCTGTAGTGTTGTTGACGCTGCAGTCATGTCCTGAAGGCGCTGTGTACTTCGTTGTGAAAGCGAAACTACTTTGTTTGGTCTTCCAAAAGAGGACGATATCTGCTTCGTCATGCCTAGAGCTGATCTGTGCTGGTCGCTGAGGGAATACATCAACTTTCACCATGGACAAAGCGGAGTCCAGCCCGCCTCAGCTCACTCTATCTCGGCCTCAGCGGACGCTAAGACGGGGCTTCCCCTCACGCTAGGCCGCTGTTTTTTCATTGCCACTGATGATTCAAACGCGAGTTTTGGGCAGTAGAGTAGCACTTGTTGTTTGTCATTTCTCCGATCACAAATGCAGACAGAGTTTTATGTTTACGCGGCGCGATGCAATGCAACGCAACACGTAAAAAGACAGTATAAGTCATTATAATCAGTAATTATGTCCCCACTGGATGCAACAAATGCCTCGTTTGTAATGGGTTTTAATGTTTATGTCTCGTCACTCCGGCCGGACACGGCATCAACAGTATGTGAGGGGCGTAACATTTCTGTCTCACGCTTAAGGTATTCGGCCAATCACAACGCACTGGATAGCTGGCCAATCAGAGCACACCTCGCTTTTTCAGACAGATGAGTTTTGTAAAAAATCGACGCGTTTCAAAAAGGCATAGAGGAGAAACAATAATGTACAGTATGTGGAAAATAATCTATTTTTTCAACTTTAAACTGCATAAACACATTTCATTACACCAAATACACAAAATAATGTTCTTTTTAGCAGCATCATATGACCCCTTTAAAATAAAACACTATATAAACTATATGTTGCACTGTACAGCCCTGCTTTTAAGTACTATCATGCACGCTTTAGGTACAAAGGTGTACCTTTTGCCACTGCTGCCCCAGTGACAGCTTTTGTACCCTTTGTTTCTGAGAGTGCAGGATGCAGTGTGAGTTCTTGTAAAATAATTTATGTTAATATTCAAATTGGGCCAGTAAGTGAATTTAAAAACTCAACCATCAACTCACCACATTCATCTAAAAATAACTGAATTTAATAATTAGGGCAAACAAACAAATAAATAAATGGTATATTTTTGAGGAAAATTATTTGAGTCCTAATGTTAAAACTGCAATAAATATACATTCTTAAAAGTCATGGGAGCTTTTTTTTTTTGCGAGTATGTTGAGCTTTTTGAAACCTGTGTGTCACATTTCAAATGTGACGTGTGAAAGCAAACAAGCTTGGATTTTCTTTCCAAAGACGAAGCTCATAAACAGAGTCTGCAGTTGAGTCTGTCACTGCTCAGAGCCTGCACTTCACCAGCTGCATAAACACACACAAAAATACCTTAACTGACTCGAATCATGATGCCTCCTCACAGAACCAAAAATTACCCCTCGTACATGTCGCACACACAAAACCACTATACCACTCTGACTACCTCACTAAAGTCATGTCCAAAGATTTAAACACCGACCTGAACCAAAGACCACTGCTCCCTTTATTGGTGCGCAAAGCAATTACCTGGGAAACAGGTGACGGCTGAGTTGATTTTTCAACTCTAGAGAGAATTTATTCAGCTGATGTAGACATAACACAGGGCCTGGGGGAAACAACACCTGCTCCAACCCATCAAAGATGATGGACCTTTTCATAAGAGCTGAAATGTATTTACCTGACAGGCAAACATAAAATGCAAAATTAGGATCCAAATCGATTACACAATAAAACAGAAAGATGTTGCCATGTAAATTCATCAGTAAACTCAATATCTGAGAGTGAGACCCACGCACAAATCATTAGAGAGGACAGACAATTGCTAACAGAAACCCCGTCACATAGGAGTTCTTCATTATGAGGGCGACAGGTTGCCTAGTTACCACAGCAGCCTGCTACGTGCATGTTCTTGGGCTGGTCTACAGAGTCTCTGTCACGCTCCATTGTGACTGCTGCCTGAGAGGCCAAACACCTCCTTTAGGTAACGCATGTGTGTGTGGGAGAGCGCTCTCCAGGTCTTTGGCTAACGTGGGTGATTACATGCAAAATGGTTCAGGGGACTGATATCTTCATGCAGGGAATCAAAAAAGTAAAAATATTTTAAATGATAAAATATAATATAATATTTTAAATTATATTTCACTCAATATTTCAAAGAAAAGAAGTCAAAACTATCACATGTACCTTACTAAAAGAATAATATATTTAAAATAAATTTATTTCATACTAAGTAGTTCAAACCCATTAACATATTTACTAACATATCGCTTGAGACTTACTGATATAAAAATTATAATTAAACTTTATTTGGAGTACTGCTTGTGTACAATGCACATTTCTTAATATTAAGCGTAAAATGTGTTTTATTGTCACTATTGGTGAGGATTGTATGATTTTTGAATAATATCAGTGTTTAAATGTAAGATATTTAAAGTGTACCTGAAGTATACTTGCAATAGTTCCACTTTAGCACAATCAAACATACGTCAGTATATCTTTAGTTGGACTATTTCCGCACAGATTAAGTGCATTAAGTAAAAAATTAGTAGTGCCAATTTAGCAGACTTTATGTATACCAGTTAAGTATACCAACAGTACAATTACATTTACATAAATGTGACCCTGGACCACAAAACCAGTCATAACGGTCAATTTTTTATATACTTTATACAAATATATGGTTTGTTACATGACAATATTTGGCCGAGATACAACTATTTGAATATCTGGAATCTGAGGGTGCAAAAAAAATCTAAATACTGAGAAAATCGCCTTTAAAGTTATCCAGATTAAGTTCTTAGACATGCATATTACTAATCAAAAATTAAGTTTTGATATATTTACACGAGGAAATTTACTAAATATCTTCATGGAACATCATCTTTACTTAATATCCTAATGATTTTTGGCATAAAAGAAAAATCAATCATTTTGACCCATACAGTGTATTTTTGGCTATTGCTACAAATATACCTGTGCTACTTATGACTCTGGTTTTGTGCTCCAAAGTCACAAATATGTAAATGTATTTGTAGTATACTTAGCATGAAATCAATGTATTTCAATCACATTTTAGCATATTTATTTTTCACTAGGGAAGCTCTGACAAAATCAACTAATACAGCAGCAGATTTTCTGAATGAGCAAACTAAATAAATAAACAAATTAATAAACAAACAAACCTTTAACTGCTCTTTTAAACTTTCAGTATTGCAGTGTAGCACTGTTCATACCTTTTTTTTTAATAGAAGATGGGCTTTATTAGGTTATCATAAAGTGAGTAGCATGTCCTATCCCAAAAACATGCAGATGATGAGCTTACATTTGGTTAAAAGAAATGAGAGGAAATAAAAAGTGGTGGTGAATCTAGAACAGCAATACAACGAATATCCAAAGCATGTCAATTGTAGTCTTATTTGTAGCTTTATTTGTAACTTTAGCAACAGCAGAAAAAGGTCCTGCATTTAATAGACGCGTAATAGACATGAAAGTTTAATCCTTTAGTCTTACTAAACGAATCATTAACTGAAGTGAATGCTCAATTTGTCAATATTTATAATAATAAATAGTATTTTTTATATCTGATGGTGCAGATCCATATTTTAAAATTTACATTTTTTAATCCAATAAGATAGAAAACGCATCACATTAGATTTAAATGTGAATGTAATAGAAGACAAATGGAAGGCTGTATAAAAGGCTTCAGCTAAGGTTTTTAACATTTTCATTAAATAAGTGTGGTTGGGAGGGGGTGCTGACATCATTAACCCGTTTAATGCCAAGTGCCAAACACACCATACCCCAGACTGAGAAGATAAAGTGAAATCATTTACATGCAAGACACAAATGTCAAGGACGTCAAGGATCAAATGAGCACATATGAGCAGAATATCATTACAGTAAATGGCAAAGAAACCCAATGAAGTGCTGTAATTAATGCAATCAAATTCTCTTTATCATCAAATGCAGCATGACCATTAGTTCAATGGCTGTTACTCAAGACAATGAATGCAGCTCATTTAAAATGTAA